ATTGATGTTGGATAAGATATTGTAAATGGAAGCCAACAAATAAGAAAAACAGCAAGTAAAATACCTAAGAAAAAAAAACAAAGCAAGAATATTTTCTAATTTAATTATTCTAGAATATGAAATAATTTATCAAATATTGACTTAATAAACACTCTCTTGTGTATAATCTCAACATAAAGTTTAGCCTCAAGAGAAATTTGAAGCATTTTTTTTATTTCTTTTATTATCATAATTAAATCAAAATTATTAAAAAGTTTCTACGATAAAAGTCAATAATCAGATGCATTTATAATGAAGACAATGAAAAGAATGAAAAGGAACAATAAAGCAGTAGATTCATATAAGATTATATCAATCTTCTCATACTCTTTCCCCAAAGATTTCTTTTTTGTAGGTCACTCAACTTATAATATGAGTAGAACTTGTTCTTGAGGAATAAAACTCAATTTCGATTTTTTATAATTAAATAAAATGTTGAAGAATTTTTTTTATTCATACCGAGCATTCGACTTGCTTTTTGATTCCGCCGTAAACATGCTTTATGCCTTCGATGCATAAATTCTGCTACAGCACGTTGACTATAACGGCTTGAATTACGTGGTTTTGATAAACATAATTGTTGAGTACGATGATTTAAACGACGATGTTCGTCATCAAGAGAATTCTCACATGATGAATCATGCTTTGAGATATCTACGGTTGTATTACCACCATTACCATGACATTCAGCAGATGATGGTGTATGTGATTGACTACGTTCTCTTGGTAAAGAGCTTGGACGTGAATTTTCAGATTGATGATCACGAATAATATTTTGATGCTGATTTTCAACAAGTGCTTTTGTTATTATTGTTTGTGTAGGAATTGAATGTGGATAATAATAACATGATTCATAGCGAATAGCTGGTAATGATAATCTATACGTGTTCATATATGCTCGAACTAATTGCTGTTCTTTTTCTTGATTAATAATTAAATCCTTTTTTAATCTATTATCTTCAATAATATCATTGAAACAGCTTTTTTGTCCTTTAAATGTTGCTGTTGTTGTTTGTCGATATATACGACGATGAGGAACTGATGGTGATGATGATGATGATGATGTTTTTGCTACTATTAAATTTGATATTATTCCTTGACCAACGGCAGTTGAACGTCGTTTTTGATTTGTATTATGACGATATTCATTCGAATTTCGTCGGTTTTTTACTACTTCCTGTATTATAAGTTGTTGTGCATTAGCAGGTAAAGATTCTTTTCTAACTGAATTTATTGCTCTATTTCGTTGAAAATATTTATAAAAACAAGTACGTATTGATGAAATTGGTGTTGTTATTGTTGTTGTATTACTACTTTTATCATTTCGAGCAGAACCATCAAAATGGGATGCAGTTGTTGTAGTAGATTGTTTTAAATCATGACCAGATGAATTTAAATTCATTGTATCGCAAGTATCTTTTATCTATAGAAAAAGAAATATCATTAAGGTTTATATTTTAATTTTCTATTGAAATTATGAATTAATAAATTAAATCGAACTTTTCTTAGATCTTGCCGATATACTGAAGAGAATCTTCGTGGGAACATCGAGTACGGCCCTAATATATGAAGCATTTCTGAAAATTTAACTTTTAAAAATTTTTATGTATATTTGAATTTTCTGTAGAAAATTTACGTTATACTGGCTTGCGAGCACTAGCAAGAAATCTGCTAACAAGAAAAAAGTCAAAAAAATGTTTTATATCTTCACTGAAAATTATGCTTCACCGAGTGAGAAATTTCTTTTCACGCAATTTACAGATAACTAGAGCATTAATAGTTGGAAAAAAAATTAAAATATTTAAAATATAGTACTTGATCTATTTACTGGAGCTATGTAGGCCAACATGAGTCGAAGAGATCGCAATTTACCAATTATTAACAGTCAACTTCTTGGCAGTATATATATTGCTAGTTTTTTTAAATCGAAAGATGTTAGTCTGAACTTTACACATCTTATGTGACTTTTGATTCTCTACAAAACGGAAACCAAATTAAAAAAAAAAACTTTCTAACGGATGCGAAAAACGAGTTACAATGTCGGTCGTTAGGTAAACAGCTTCAAGGAAAACAATCTCGAGTACTTTTCATTATTCTTTTTACATCAGACTTTTTCATCTGAAAGCAATGAGATCTATATCCTAGATGAATAAAATGATGAATAAAGTTCTCTTGAAAGAAGGTCACAGTCACATGATCAGAGTTCATTATCAATTGTAATTTAGTCGAGTATGTTTGATCCCTCGAGTTCATATACGTGCCATGGATCCCTATAAACTCTTTATGTAGCTAAATTTCAATTGATAATAGACTCCGATCAAATGGCTATAATCCACATTCCAAACCCTATCGATCTGGATAATCGTTATTGAGTTTTTTTCCTTTGTTCAAGAGAATTCTCTTCACTATTTTATCCATTTAGAATGAAGATGTAATTTTCTTCCAGATGAAAATTTTGATGAATAAAGAACAATGAAAAATGTTCGAGATTGTTTTTCTTGAAGTTGTTAACCTGATTATCGATACTGTAAGCCGGTTTTTGCATCGAGCAAATACTTTTGTCTCCCATATTTTTTTTTATTGTTTTACAGAGAATTGAAAGCTATATAACATATGTGAAAATTAGCTTAAAATCTTATAAGATAACATTATGACAGGTGATAAAGTGTAAAAATTTTATATGCTTTTTCACTTAAAAAATGACCAGTCATGGACAGTATTTACCACATAACTCTTGAGTGGTACACTGAAATATAATATGTAAATTGCTAATATTATTTAACTTTTGATGCTCTATCTTTAGATGTATTACACGAAAAATATTGTTAATTCATTATTGTCTTTAAGAAGTACACTTTATATGAACAATTCGTGATGATAATCTTCAAATAACTTCATCAGTGCTCGAAAGTTCAATTGGACTAATCTTATGTCAGCTCTATTCAATACACTAAAAGTTTGGATTTAGAGATTTGAGAAAATGTTGATTAAGATGAGGACATCGGATTTCATCTATTATTATTTCTGACACTTAGCCCTATGTTATTTTCTTTTAATATTTGAAGATTTTATTTTCATGTCACTTGTTTTTCCTTTGACACTCTTATTAATAATATAGCAGAGACACTATTTTACACTCTTTCGAACATTCAGAATAACTTTTCAAGTCTACTTATATGAAAATATTGGATAAAAAGGATAATGAAGAAATTCAATGTCTAATTTATATGATACAATAAATAAAATCTATTAAACTTACTAATACTTCAATATTTTTTATATTGACTATAATTCTTGAATAACAAGCAAGCATAAATAAAAGTGGTATATAATAAAAAAATGTACATAATAGAACAATAATAAATGGGGATGCTGGATGAGCACATGATGGCTTTCCTGTACTATAATAATGTGAAATCAATATTGAACCTGGCCATATGGCAAATGGAATAGCCCATGAACTAATTATAAATACTAATACCGATGAATAAGAACGATTACGTAAATGAAAATAAGG